TGGCAAAGGAGATGTTGTCACTCAGACTGGCGATGAGGTCCTCCTCAGTCATGACGGACATGGCATCCTCATCATGAGCAGGGATGATGGCGGCGGGATAGTTCTCAGCAGAGGGGTTCATGGTAGTTCACGAAAAAAAAATGTTGTGGTGGTTGAAGTTGAAGAAGTTTTTAAGAGGAAGAATTGAAGATTTGAAATTAGGAACGAAGATTCGTGAGAACTTGTGTAGGTTTTGTTTATTGAGAAAAATTTTGTATCAAAGTTTGACCAGGTTCCTACACTGAACTACTACTGCTATTTATATTGTTTTGGATTGGGAAAATTATATGACTGGGGTCAGGTAATCGATCCTATCTGAGCCTTAATCAGAGCAACGTGATCTTGGGATAATTAATGTATGATTAATTATATAAATGTGTGTAGTCCCAATGAAGTATTAACATCGAAAGTAAATGTGTTTATGAGTTATAATTATGCTTATAATAATCCACTGATGTATCCCATATTATGGTGATATCATCATATGAAATATAATCACTATCATGCATGCTAAACCTGTGTGTTAAATAATAAAGTAATCGGTAGACACCTTTGACTGGAATAGCTGAGGCCTTATATTATTTCCTTCAGACTTATTCTCAATTACAGCAGTAGTCAATACTCATTTACAACAACTGCTATTTATATTATTTTGGATTGGGAAAATTATATGACTGAAGTCAAATAATCAATTTTATCTGAGTCTTAATAAGAGCAATGTGATATTGGAATAATTAATGTATGATTAATTATATAAATGTGTGTAGTCCCAATAAAGTGTTAACATAGAAAATAAATGTGTTTGTGAGTTATAAGTATGCTTGTAATAATTCATTGATATATCACATATTATGGTGATATCATTATATAAAATATAATCACTATTATATATGATAAACCTGTGTTAAATAATAAAGTAGTTGGTAGACACCTTTGACTGGAATAGCTGAGAACTTATATTATTTACTTCAGATTTATTCTCAATTACAGCAGTAGTCAATACTCATTTACAACAATGTGCATAATAAATGAATAAATAAATAAAAAGTTAACAATTACTACATTATATATATGTTACAATTCTTTGGCCATAATTACAAAAGAAAAATAAATAAATATTAAAATAATAAAAGGTAAACACTCTCAAGAAACATACTGAAGGAACAAGTGCAATACAAAGGGAAGCAAACTAAAAAAGAAAATTAAAGTTAAGAAAAAAATAGGGAAAAGTGAAAAGCATTTCAAGTCTATTGTGAATATAAATAGCAAAAGCAAGAAAAAGAAAAAGAAGGAAAGAGAAAAGAAATCCAAGAAATCGGAATACGTCGTGTCCGAAGAAGGAGTCACGTCTTTGTACTGTCCATAAGTTAACGGCTTGTTTATAAGAAACCCGTGTCAAAAAATATGTTTTTAAAGTAAAACTTTAAAAATTTCAAAAAGTGTGTGTCAATTCACAAGAAGATTTTTGGCACAGTGGTATTTTTTTGCGCTTTCACTCTCAAGATCAGAGTTCGAACCTTAAAGAATTCCCAACAGTCACTTTTACCTATACTTTTATTTCAAATTTAAAGTTCTAGTTAAGCGTGGTACCTCCAATGGTTCCATTTATTTATTTATTTAAAAGAAAAGAAGAAAAAAGTAAAGTGGTGGTGTTTGGTTTTAGGAAAGATAAAAGTTAGCTGAATGTTGGGGATGCTCTTAGACCTATTACATAAATCTTAGCCAATTGGATATTCTTTATTTATTTATATATAGAATTGTTATTCATCTCAACAGGAAACCATTGGAGAGCAATCGGAACTTTTTATAAGTAATATTGAAATAATTGTGATAAAGTACAAGTGATAAAAAAAATAAAGAAAAGAGAAGATAAAAAAAAAAGATATTTACATTCGTTTTTGGATAAAAACAAAGATACTTTTAAAGATAATTGTTGCTTATTTATACAATATAATAATGTGATTTAGATTAAATAAATGCCTACAACAATATGTCTTAGATAATAACTATCCAGTAGTATCTTTATAAAATATTCACTATCTTAAACATCTAAAGCATATACAAAAAGACAAATCGACAGTGTCAAGATCTTTTATTCTAAAAAGTCAATCATTACTGGCTGCTTGTAAATTCCAATTTTGGTCACCAATGCCAATTCTGAAATTACCCCCTTTCTGGTTTTGTGATCGTCCACAAGCACCAACGTCATCAATAATTTCCCAATCCAATAGTCGCATAACAACGCGCCATGCCAAATGAGAGGCAGCCGGGTTGTACCATGTGTCTTTTAGAGCATTACCATTTATATTGTATAGGCAGTCAACGTGAACCAAGGATGCGAGTGGTTTGCCTTCCATGCTTTTGAGCCGATACGTAACATACTTGTCCTTTTTTGTTCATCACAATAAACGCGCCTTTCAATCGTGGTTCCAAACCAGAATGTCCTTCGTGTGTGAGATTAACACGATCACCAACCTCGAATGTCGCTTTCTTAATCACGGCATCCCATTTTCCCTTGCATTTTGAACTCATGTCACTCATGCGTAACTCGGCAGCTTTTCTGGCCCTACCGACATTCTCCAGTTGGTCAACGGTCTGGTCTGCCACTACACAAGGGTCTTCAGGAAGGACAGAATGGCGGCCATAGGTAAGAAAAAACAGACTATACCCAATTGTGGGATGAGTGAAGATGTGGCAGGTCCAGAGCATCATTTGTATACTTAGGCAGCATTTGTTTCAACGTACCGTTTAGGCACTTAAATTTACCATTTGTGCGTGGGTGAATGCAAAGGTTGGTCGATGATTTGACTTGGTACGAATGAGATAAGCGTCCATACGTTTTCTGGTAAAATTGGCTCCACGATCTCTCAGTATCTCGGCTGGGCACCCAAAACGCATTACTATTTCCTCGTATATAAAAGCTGCTACAATTTGGGCTGATGCGACTGGGACAACACAGGCAATCGTCCAGCTGGTAGTATAATCAACTGCTACAAGGATCCACTGATTTCATTCAAGAGTCCTATATAACCTGCCGATGAAGTCCAAGTTCCACCTTTGAACTGCTCCATGGATTTTCAATGAGTGAATATTGTCATGATGCTTACCATGTTTTCTTGTATTGTGCTAACATTTATGACATGCGCTTAAAAATTCCTAGATGTCGTTACAGAGACTCGGCTGTCAATGACGAGGTCTTAGTATATCAAACATAGGAGAAAGTACAGAATGGTAAAAATCCTTGTGGTACAATCGGAAAGTATTGGAACGGCGAGAAAAGAAAAGGAATAGTACTTCACGAATGTCATCGTCACTCAACTTCACTGTTCGATACACTTTGTTATTCTTAATTACAAAGTGAGCTATGTTATTTTCTGCGATTTATTTGGAATTGTCAGGTACGTTATCAGGATGGAATGCATAGTAGTTGGGCCGATCAATAGTATATGTGAGTGGGGGAGCATAGATATAGACCAGCTTAGTAGGACCTACAGTAATTTTGTTCTCAGGATGACTCACATGGGACAATGCACCCGGAATATTATTATCTTTGTCAGGCTTGTACTGGATGTTTGGTGCATACAGCTTTAATTCAGCAATTCATCGGACAAGGCATGGAGTTGATGTGACTTGAAGACAGAAATACTTGAGAGGAGGGTGATCTGAGAACAGTGTATATGATTGACCATCAACAAGGCAACTTCAGGCTCGGAGGGCATTCAAAATATCTTATAGTTCTCGTTTCTGGGTAGGCTAAGCTCACCCTACGCTGATAAGCTTCTTTAACTCATATGCAAGGTGATATCACAAACCATATCTATCTTTTTGGACTAGCACTGCACCAACACCGAAATTGAAAGCGTCTGTCTCAATACGATATAGTTTATGGACATCTGGGGCTTGTAGTACTGGGAGCACGGTTAGCCTGTCTTTGATGAGCTCGAAGCTGTCTTGGTACTCCTTTGTATATACAATCGGTTTCCGTTTGGCACCAGTATCATGAGTGAGATCCGTTAGCAATGATGCTATGCTTGTTTACCCAGGGATAAACGGTCAATATTGTTGGGCGGGACCACAAAACTGAGAAGCCTCTTGAGCATCGACTGGAACCAGCCATGCCTTGAAAGCCGTAACCTTTCCAGATACAGATAGAATCCCTCGTGCTGAGACATGGAATCCAACAAAAATCAATTCTTTTTTGCTGAATTCAAGTGTCTTCATATTGGCCACAAATTTTCTTTTATTGCAACCTTTTTAGAACATGACATACATGAAGGCGGTGGTCTTCTTCAGCCTTGCTGAAAATCAATATGTCACCGAGATACACGATAGTAAAGTCATCAAAACAGTTGCCCAGGTCATGGCTCATAAGGCTTCGGAATGTTGGCGGTATATTGGTCAGAACAAAAGGTGGGACAAGAAACTCATACTAGTCGTATCTGGTGTTGAAGGATGTTTTGGTAAAACTGCTTGGTTTTTTTTTTTTTTTTTTTTACTTGGTGATAACCACTTTTAAGATCAAGACTGGTAAAGTGTGCAAATTCGCGGAGTCGTTTCGGGCATTCATAAATCTTTGGTAGTTGGTGGTTGTTACAAACAATTGCTTTATTCAACATGTGATAATCGATACACATCCCCATAGTACCGTATTTCTTCTTTTAAAAACAACACTGGCGCTCCCCGACGTGACGCACTAAGCCTAATTAGCCAAGGTCAAAAAGTTCTTTGATCTGACACTTGAGCTCGTCCATATCTAGGAGACTCCTCTTGAATGAGGTTTGGTTGATCGGTCTTGGATCCACGGTATGGAATGCATACTGTACAACACGGTAGGGTGGAACATCTAGAAGTTCATCTCTAAATACGCCAGGAGTTCTTTTGGCCAGGTCACTCCAATCTGAGTTGTTCATATTGCTAACCGTGTCATCTTTGACGTGTAATAGAAAACTGTCTGCGCCAGTGTTCTTCATCGACTTACTTCCTTGTCTGTGAGAAACAAGGTGGTTCAAATGGTGTGTACTGTCTCGTGTGTTTTGCGATTTGACGACGAATTCCTTGGATTCTTTATATAACTTTCAACTGTCATTGAACCAGCAGGAAATTTGCTGTGCTTGCTGGAACAAGGTTTGGAGTGGTATCAAGTCAAATTTCACTGGGAACATATAAGCTTCGATTGAGTCTGTATATGCATTGAACGAAATAGACATGGTAATCTTCTTGGTGATTGATACTTTGTGACCACCAGCTGTCTCCGCTATTTGATCGCGGACTTGAACCACATGGTTTGCTTGCTTAATGAGTGCTGGTGTCACAAAGGTTACGCTTCCGCCACTGTCTATTAGTATGGAGATATGCTTTCCTTCATATATGGCATCATGTAGTGACTATTATGTGTTAATGGTAGCATTAAGTTGCTCTAAGTGCATTAAGTCTTAATTACAAGTGGAATGGTCATCAAAATATTGGTAAGACAAAGCTTTATTAGTATGTTCGTTATAGTTAACACTATTATAATCATTTACATTCCTGTTAGAGTGGGAATCTTGATCCTCACACAACTGATTACCCTTTAATTCAGTTGTGTGGAATGATAGGGAATTACATCCTTGGGCCTTGGCGCATCTTTCGTCTAATTGGCGGGTGGTAGCAATACGGTCTGGGCATCTTGCTGGTGCCATTTAATATCGGAGCGGTTGGCGGAGCTTCGCCTGTTCTATTGGCCTGAGCGTCCACAATAATTGGTCCGCATGGACCCCCTCCCCTACATAGAATCAAGGTCCATGGGAATAGGTTCATCATCACGGAAATATTGTGGAATAGGATCAGGACGTGCCAGGCGAGCAGAACAACACTCGATTTTGTATCCAAGGGCTGTGCGTGCAGTCTCACCAACGTCCAAAGGCTCACAAAAATGAACCTGACCACGGGTTTCAGGGCGTAAACCATCAACAAATCAGTAAAACGCTTCATCCTTGGCCATGGACAGGATTACCATGTGGAGATTATAGTAAGTGCTGATATAGTTGTTGACAGACCTTTTCTGGCGCAAAGAACGAATGCGATTACGGGAATTCTGGGTAACATGGATTTGATGGGATGCAAATTGCCATTAAGCAAGTGTGTAAACCTGTGCGAATCCGAAGCTCTGGTAACATTGTCTTCCATGCGGCACCACCAGGCATTGGCACAATTACAAAGAAGAGTAATATAATAGGAGGTCCAACTGTCATATTCTATGCGATGTAGTTCAGCAAAACGTTCCACAGAACAAACCCAGCCATAAATATTGTTGAAAGAACGAGCACTGCGATAAAAGTCTGGGCGTTATATACGGACAGACATAAACAGGGAAATATTGATGTGCGCAGAAATTGGGGCAGCATAAAGAGAAGGTAGCTGCGAGTCATGAAGAGCAGTAGTGAAGGTGACAATTAACTCGGGTATATTCATGGCACCAGGATCAGCATGGTCAGCATGGTCAGCATGGTCAGCATGGTCAACAGGGACATGTGTATCACTCATGGGTAAAGAGTTTGGAGCAGGTACGTAAACTGGGATACTCTGGAGCAGGGAGTGTAGAAACATATACACTAGAAAATTTGAAAACGATGTTTCTGCCTTGAGTATCCCAAAAAGCGACATGAGCATGAGTAGAACGGATACACTGTTTTTCAGGAATATGGGGTACAGTACAGCAAGCAAGGTATGAACTCATTCTTCAATTTCAAGTTTATTTTTTATTTTCTTTTTATTTTTTCATTTGAGCGTCAGTAAAGTGGGCGCTTTTCTGGTAAGAGAAATCGCTTATTCAGCTACCAATTGTCAAGTCTCGATCTGATTTCTTTTTCTGGCACCTTTAACTAAGTCGCCTAATCAATACCACTGGGGGATTATCAAGTTTATGAATAGTTTTCAGATAAGAATAAAAATACTTTTTTATTAAATACATTTCTTGCTTATTTATACAAAACGATTGTTAATTTCTGGATATGAAAAAAAAAAGAAATAGCTACAATAAAAGGTCTTAGATTATGAATATACACTAATATCTCTATAAGTATATTTGTCATCTTTAACATCTAAGAGTATCTGCAGTAGTTAAATTTCATAAATCATTAAATATACATTAACAGTTTAAACTATCTTGATCATTTTAAATTATTATCTTTTTCTCTTTGTTTCCTTTAAATCCCTTTGTTATAACAAGTAAAAGCCTATCGCAGTAAACAGCAAATCTTACACAGAATATGTTCACTACGAAGCCAATAGCCTTGAGGCCATTAACTAATTTCATTATATATATAGAGGTGAATAAAATTACCAATGAAGAAAAGTCAGCTTCATACAGTGTTATATTTTGAACAATATTTTAATCTAAAAATATCAACCATTACTGATTGCTTCCATGTTGCGATTTTGGTCTCGGATGTCAACTCTAGCACTTTAATATAACATATCAGTATAGCAAATCAGATAAAGGATACAAAACAGTTTTTGTTATATTTGATGTAGGTTGTCTTATATACTTTTTGAAACAATTATTTATCTTTGGTTACACTCCAGAAGCGTCTAGTAATAATACATATCTATAAAGTTACAAAGTGAAGAGTAGTCATTCTAGTTCCTGCTTCTTCTGTAATAAGAAGTCGCTAGAAATTGTATCACCAAAACTAAGCACGACAACTTTGAGCATCACTTATTTTATCGTGCCTGAATTCTTGTTAGCCAATCAGAACAACAATTACACAATATCCTCTTTTGAGAATAACGATCAACATGATTCACTTTTGCTCACAAAATAATTAGAAAACATATAGCTTAACAAAAAAGTATAATATAAGCCAAAACAGACATTTACAATGGCTGAGTAGGTTTAGAAAAGATGTGAACGAAAAAAAATCATTCAATAAACGTTATTTATCTTTCTGTCATATTTCTATTCTTGTTTATTTTAGCTTACGATCCCCAGCAGGTTTGACAGTTTTTGGCTGTGTTATGGCATTTGAAAAACAACCCAGCTCGAAAGCGACAATGCTACCTGGAGAGACTGAACTAAAAAAATTCGATGGGATTTGGTGTGATACCATCTGCATTGCTTCAAATTGTTTGGTTTATGCAAAATCCAGCTGTATAAAAGCATATGATTATACAACGCTCTGGTATAACAAGTTGATCGTAGTAATTATATGTGTGATATATATATATACCACAATTGAGTGAAATACAAGCCCATAAACAAGAACGGATACTGCAATTGCCAATGAGACAGGCAAGGGCACATTTCAGGGATGTAACACACGCCAGTCACTAGTACACTTCACACTGCTTCAGGGACAACCAACCATTAATGGATGAATATTTTAAATTAGGAAACCGAATATCCATATAAGCAGTTATAATCATATTTCTTAAATAAACCATACTATTACAATGTCTATTATTCTCTTTTCACATCTTATTCGTATATCTCAATCTGAGCCAGACGGATCAATTCTGATTAACATTTCAGTCAACCGGAACGATTCAGGTTAACTTTCTAGCCAAACTGGTAACAACTACTTAACATTCAAGTAAAAAAAAAAACTTTCGGTTAACATTTAAGCCAAGCTAGTAACGACCAGTTAATATTTAAGCCAAATCGGTAGAAACTGGTTATTTTTTAAGCCAAACTGGTAACAACTGGTTAACGGTTGAGTCAACTGGTGACGACTAGTTAACACTTTAACCAAACTGGTAAGGACTGGTTAACGGTTAAGCCAACTGGTAACGACTGATTACTACTTTAGCCAAACTGGTGACGATTGGTTAACATTTTAGCTAAACTGGTAACGACTGGTTAACGGTTAAGCTAAACAAGTAGCGACCGATTAACACTTTAGCCAAACTGGTAACAACTGGTTAACGGTTAAGCCAACTGGTGACGATTGGTTAACATTTTAGCCAAACTGGTAACGACTAGTTAACGGTTAAGCCAAACTGGTAGCGACCGATTAACATTTTAGCCAAACTGGTAGCAACTGGTTAATGGTTAAGCTAAACTGGTGACGACTGGTTAACACTTTAGCCAAACTGGTAAGGACTGGTTAACGGTTAAGCCAACTGGTGATAACCGATTACCACTTTAGCCAAACTGGTGACGACTGGTTAACAGTTAAGCCAACTGGTGATGACCGATTAACACTTTAGCCAAACTGGTAGCAAGTAGTTAACGGTTAAGCCAACTGGTGAGGACTGGTTAACATTTTAGCCAAACTGGTGGAAACTGGTTAACGGTTAAGCTAAACTGGTGACGACTGGTTAACAATTAAGCCAACTGGGGACGACCGATTAACACTTTAGCCAAACTGGTAGCAAGTAGTTAACGGTTAAGCCAACTGGTGTGGACTGGTTAACATTTTACCCAAACTGGTAACGACTGGTTAACGGTTAAGCCAACTGGTGACGACTGGTTAACATTTTAGCCAAACTGGTGGCAACTGGTTAACGGTTAAGCTAAACTGGTGACGACTGGTTAACGGTTAAGCCAAACTGGTAGCGACCGATTAACATTTTAGCCAAACTGGTAACAACTGGTTAACGGTTAAGCCAACTGGTGACGATTGGTTAACATTTTACCCAAACTGGTAACGACTGGTTAACGGTTAAGCCAAACTGGTAGCGACCGATTAACATTTTAGCCAAACTGGTAGCAACTGGTTAACGGTTAAGCCAAACTGGTAGCGACCGATTAACATTTTAGCCAAACTGGTAACGACTGGTTAACGGTTAAGCCAACTGGTGACGACTGGTTAACATTTTAGCCAAACTGGTGGCAACTGGTTAACGGTTAAGCTAAACTGGTGACGACTGGTTAACGGTTAAGCTAAACTGGTAGCGACCGATTAACATTTTAGCCAAACTGGTAGCAACTGGTTAACGGTTGAGCTAACTGGTGTCGACTGGTTAACATTCAAGTCAAACTTGTGTCAACTGGTTAGTATTTAAGCCAAAAAAATTAATTCTGGTAAAGATTTAAGCCAACTGGCAAAAACCAGTTAAAATTTAACCTCAACTTGTATTAACCGGTCTGAGGGCGAACCGTTTGAACCAATTCGTTTCCTTATTTGGAACAAGTTGAATTATTATTTTAATTTCACTCTTAATTATTCAATCTCAGAAAAAAAAAGTTGAAAAGTGTAAGTAAGCGTTTTTAACCTTTGGCGGGATTACTAATGACCCCCCTATTATATGTATGAGAAGGATGATTGAAGTCTCAATAACAATTAATTTTGGAATTGTTTCAAAAATCTTTTTCAGAGAGTACTATGCGTGGGGTATATCTTTCCCAAGGTTGCCTGGCGCCTCTTTTGCTCGGATCAGTAGAGATTTTATTCTTTAATAAAAAAGTCTGCTGGTCTCCCGACGCATATTTCGAACCATATACTTTTGCTTCGGCGGATTTTTGGGAACATTTGTTGGGGGGTAGACTTGGTTCTGCTAATAATCTACATATCCAATTTATTGGATTTGTACCAGGGAAATAATGGCTCATTAAATGAGCTATTATCTACATGTCAAAGCATTACTACTTGGATAGCCGTGGTAATTATAGAGCTGATATGTGCAATAAAAGCCTCGACTTCGGAAGGGGTGCACTTATTAGGTAAAAGCCAATCCGGTCTTAAGGCCAGTTTCTTGGTGGTTCATAATAATAAAATGCTGATCGGATGGCCTTGTGCTGGGAAGGCTCATTCGATTTTCTGCCCTATCAGGTTAAGATTGTAAGATATAAGCTTACATTGTCTACCACGGGTAATGGTGAATTAGGGTTCGATTCCAAAGAGAAAGGCTGAAACTAAAAGGAGTTGACGGAAGGGCACCACAAGGAGTGGGGCCTGCGGTTAATTTGACCCAAAACAGGGACACTCAATGGCATTGAGATACCCTTAGATGTTTTGGGTTGAATGCGCGCTACACTGACATAGTCAATGAGTCTACAACCTTGAGTAGTACTTTTAAACTATGTTGTGCTGGGAATTGAGCTTGGTAACAATGTTATCTATAGTTCAGCGTTTACGTTGTTCTAATAGTCTAACAAAATTATGTGAAACGTCTTGTATCTTGGGATTTAAAGATAGCTTGGCATTGAAATGTCGAGCTGATCCGTAAACAGACCCGTCTAAAGCGGGTCTCATCAGATGCTACTGAAGAACTGAATCTAGTTGAACTACTAGAAGTTAAACATGACCGCAAGGTTGAAAAGCAAGCTGTTTATTCAAGCTCTTTGATTATTGATAGAGCAAAATCAGTATTTATATACTGAAATATTCATCTTAATGAAATTCCCCATTGAGCTGAAACATTCAGTCAGTGGAAGAAAAGAAAAGAATATTGTTGATGATAGCGGAAAAGCTTTATAAAAATTACCAAAGGCTATAAATGCCGGTGCCGCCTTTATCAGGGCACGTAATAACTGTTCAATGAACTAATAAAACTTGGCTTTTAAGCCATCTATAACTTTCTTTTAAAACAAATAAAAATTCGACCTGAAATAAGGTCGAATTCCCTGCTGAACCGAAACATTCGGTCAGCAGAAGAAAAGAAAAAAAAATGTTGTTGCTGGTAGCAGAAAAACTAGAAAAGTTACCAAAGGCAATAGATGCTGGTGCTAGTTTTATCTGGGCACATAATAACGGTTGCAAGACCTAATAAAACTTGGCTTTTAAGCCATCTATAATTTTATTTTAAAACAAATTAAAATTCGACCTGAAATAAGGTCGAATTCCCTGCTGAACCGAAACATTCGGTCAGCAGAAGAAAAGAAAAAAAAATGTTGTTGCTGGTAGCAGAAAAACTAGAAAAGTTACCAAAGGCAATAGATGCTGGTGCTAGTTTTATCTGGGCACATAATAACGGTTGCAAGACCTAATAAAACTTGGCTTTTAAGCCATCTATAATTTTCTTTTAAAACAAATTAAAATTCGACCTGAAATAAGGTCGAATTCCCTGCTGAACCGAAACATTCGGTCAGCAGAAGAAAAGAAAAAAAAATGTCGTTGCTGGTAGCAGAAAAACTAGAAAAGTTACCAAAGGCAATAGATGCTGGTGCTAGTTTTATCTGGGCACATAATAACGGTTGCAAGACCTAATAAAACTTGGCTTTTAAGCCATCTATAATTTTCTTTTAAAACAAATTAAAATTCGACCTGAAATAAGGTCGAATTCCCTGCTGAACCGAAACATTCGGTCAGCAGAAGAAAAGAAAAAAAAATGTCGTTGCTGGTAGCAGAAAAACTAGAAAAGTTACCAAAGGCAATAGATGCTGGTGCTAGTTTTATCTGGGCACATAATAACGGTTGCAAGACCTAATAAAACTTGGCTTTTAAGCCATCTATAATTTTCTTTTAAAACAAATTAAAATTCGACCTGAAATAAGGTCGAATTCCCTGCTGACCGAAACATTCGGTCAGCAGAAGAAAAGAATTAACCAAGGCTTCCCCTAGTAACGGCGGGTGAAGAGGGGAAGTCGCAAATGTGCATGTAGTAGTACGATTGTTCCGTCATTGATCAGACGGAAATCTAGAGCAGACGAGTAGGCTATTCGCAAGAATGATAGCCAAAGAAATTGGTATGGAAGAAGTAGCAAGAAAAGAAGACCTTGTTCAGCATGACATGGTAAAAAAACATAAGTAGTGTAGATAGGTGGGAGCTTCGGCGCCAATGAAAAACCACCGCCACTATTCTTAGCGTCTTTTTATTGAAATGTCATGTGGGATTAGGCTTCACGGTCAATACCGTGAAGGTTCAATCTGCAGGATGATGGCTGAACGTCTTTAGGCCAGATTCTATGCTGAACCAGATCCACACGAGGGCGAGACTGTTGCCAACGCCCCCGAATGTATTATACTGTCTCTTGGGTGGAGAGAAAAGGTTATGGGTATAGCCCTTCAAGGGCTTTCGAGTCCGGTTGTGGTTATTACCCTAACCACCGCATGCTCCGAACGTTGTATCTAGGGCGCGTTTATGGGGTATGTGGTATGGCTATGAGGACACCTGTAGGGTCTCTACAGGAAGTAGGAGCCATCAAGGACTATATGTCCTAGTATAATGCATCCGAAGCCGGCCCGAGTGGTATGACCAACGGCTTCAGTCTCATCCCGGTGGATCAAGGGAGTTTTTAGGGGATACCCCACTACCTGGTACCTCTCTTTAGTAGAGCGACTTGGTGTCGAACCGTTTGACCGTATGGACACGGGCACTTTGTCCGTGTTGGCGACGGCTCAAATCTGCTACCAGTAGGAGTGGTAGAGAGAGGAATCCGGACGGTACGGCTCACCACCGTACCTGAAGGGGGAACTGTGGTCACGATTTTCTTCCTGGCCTTTGTGCCGAAAAAAAGAAAAAAAAACTAGCAAATATACTATGTGTGGAATAATTGTACTTGGTGAGTACAATAATAATAGCCAAGTTTGTAAACTTGGTAGAATTGGCAAGGAAATAAGACCTTGTTGAGCTTGACTTGGTAAAAAGACATAAGGGGTACAGATAAGTGGGAGCTTCGGCGCCAATGAGAAACCACTCCTCTTATTGTCTTTTCAGTGAAGAGGCGTGTTAGATTGGGCTTCACGGTCAATACCGTGAAGGTTCAATCTGCAGGATGATGGCTGAACGCCTTTAGGCCAGATTCTATGCTGAACCATATCCACACGAGGGCGAGGCTGTTGCCAACGCCCCCGAATGTATTATACTGTCTCTTGGGTGGAGAGACAAGGTTATGGATATAGCTCTTCCAGGGCTTTCGAGTCCGGTCGTGGTTATTACCCTAACCACCGCATGCTCCGAACGTTGTATCTAGGGCGCGTTTATGGGGTATGTGGTATGGCTATGAGGACACCTGTAGGGTCTCTACAGGAAGTAGGAGCCATCAAGGACTATATGTCCTAGTATAATGCATCCGAAGCCGGCCCGAGTGGTATGACCAACGGCTTCAGTCTCATCCCGGTGGATCAAGGGAGTTTTTAGGGGATACCCCACTACCTGGTACCTCTCTTTAGTAGAGCGACTTGGTGTCGAACCGTTTGACCGTATGGACACGGGCACTTTGTCCGTGTTGGCGACGGCTCAAATCTGCTACCAGTAGGAGCGGTAGAGAGAGGAATCCGGACGGTACGGCTCACCACCGTACCTGAAGGGGGAACTGTGGTCACGATTTTCTTCCTGGCCTTTGTGCCGAAAAAAAGAAAAAAACTAGCAAATATACTATGTGTGGAATAATTGTACTTGGTGAGTACAATAATAATAGCCAAGTTTGTAAACTTGGTAGAATTGGCAAGGAAATAAGACCTTGTTGAGCTTGACTTGGTAAAAAGACATAAGGGGTACAGATAAGTGGGAGCTTCGGCGCCAATGAGAAACCACTGCTCTTATTGCTCTTTAACCATAGTATGGGATTAGGCTTTACAGTAAATGCTGTGAAGCCCCCATTGGTTAGGAAATGGCTAAACAACCATAAGCCAGAGCTGATGCTGGAAACCATACTATATGTGTTGCTCATACACTATATGAGTATAAATATGCTTTTGAGCTGAAAAGCATATTGTGTCTTTGTTCGTATCCGCTGAAAGGCGAGTACCTTCAGAGCTACATAGTAATACTAGTATGGAGTATTGATATATTACATGCAAGCAGCGTGTAACTGACGGGGTATTGTAAGTGTTCGAGTGACTTTTGTTGCTACGAAGTACTGAGATTAAGCCCTTGTCCTTGAATTTGTTCTTTTGAACACCTTCATAATTAAAATAAATTATTTTTGTATTGAAATAATTTACTTAAGTAAATATTATCACCTGCCATCTGACAGCCGACCCAATAAAAAATTATAATATTGCAAAGTCAGAAAGTGAGTCTATATATTTTATTAACTTAGCTGTAGAAGTATGTGTATATTGATCATATTAAAATTTTTTTAGGTCAATAAATTCAAGAGTATCCTTTCTCCATTTTTTTAAAGGTACTTAATTTGAGACCGGGTCTGAAATCCGAGTTTGTTTGTTCATTGATTTCTTATAATAACACATTTGATTAGATTAATTTCTTAGTCGTCAAAGCTGTTATATGTTATAGACAAACTAACAAACTTGGTATATTCATTTTTTGTTAGCCTTTGTCTTTTAACTAGATACCTTGATTTCAATTTGTATAAGATCAAGCAGTAGCATTATTTACAGCCAAACAAAAACAACTCTTCTTTTAGGAATTATATATATAAACATATACAATTTAATCACAATTAAACAAAAAACAATGCCCAAAGAATTTTAACATATATATATATATATATATAATGTAGTAATCATTACGTTTATTTTTCTATTTATTTATTTTTGTTTGTTCATTCATTCATTACGCACATAAATATTATATAAAGCAATAAGTGGGAAGCGAAATAAATATGAGAGGGTATATATCTATATTTATTTACCAAAGCTAAAATTTAAGAAAAAAATGATGCAAAGAGTTATTGGAAACAAATTGATTTGATGTGTTGGACAGTAGAGCCATTAAGCATATGGAGTTTATAAAGATAAAAAAAAAACAGCATGCGATGGAACTGTGGGCAAAGGCAATAAAGTAAATAAATGAAACTTTTCCATAATGTGTATTGTAATATAATACACAAAGCCTTTGAATGTATTAATCAATTGAATACAAATTTCAAAAGTTTTATTTTAAGCAGACATATTAAAGAATATGGTTTTTTGGGAAAATTTAATTTTTACAAGATTTGTTTGAGATATTCAGAATTTTTTATGGATTAGTATCTCAATATAGAGAAAATTGGATACTGCGGAGAGTGTGTTTTATTTATTTATTAATGACAATCAAAATAGTATTGTTTAAAGCATCTTCAGCAGTCCTCTCTAGATCCAATCACTGTAGAAAAAAATCTACAAGTATTTGAAACAAGCTGCCTTATTTTGGAAAGAAATGTCAGATTTTTGAACACCATCTAGCACTTACCAAGTTTAGAATATCTCTATCCTATTTTGGCTCTAGAGAAATATTTTGAAGATGAAAGTCTAGTCGTCAACCCAGGAAACCATCTTGATTTCCGAATAAAGAGAACTACTTGCTTGATTAAAGAAAAATCAACTAGAGGGTCAAACAAACCCTATGAACTCTGTACCTTGGATCTGAGCTTATGCCAGAAACAGTCATACCTACTAATATTTCTTTTTAATGCGAACTTGTGTTTTTATTTCGTAAAGTCTTTTTCTTTCTATTTCTTCTCACTGTTACTATTGTTGACAAGTCTTTGAGGCTTTACGAAGTACTAACCGATTTATAGTTTCGTAAATCTTAGGGGACAGGGGGTTTTTGGATGATGGGGACAGGGTGTTACACAAGCTTATAGTGAGTAGTCCGGCAGATAATTAGAGGCGTGACTACTTTTAACTTGTCCGGCAGACATCCATCGTTTCTGTGTGTAACACCCTGTCCCCATCCAGTATAATCACTTGTCTTTATTCACTAAGAAAAATCATGCAAAAGTGGAAGAACATTTGTCCGTAACTTTTCATTTTCATTTTTATTTATTTTTAAAAAATTCATAACTCGTTCAAAAAAATAGATAGAAATATGAGAGTAAGATGGTTGGTTTCGTTGATTTTTTTTGCATAAAGTGAGTATTTGTTTGTTTTGTAATATTTTTTGAATCACGTTTAATGAGTGAATTACAAAAGTTCTGTACATTTCATTTGTGAAAGATTGAACAAAAAAACAACAATTTGAAAATATTAGTAAAAATCACTTGCAAATGCTTTATATCAATAGAAAATAGTAAAAAATCGTTTCAGTAAAAGTTTTAGACCATATTATTATGTAGAAAAGATATTTATTAGCAAAAACAATCTATCTCAAATGGTTAAAAACGTGAAAAAAAGTGTATATTTTGCTTGTTTATTCAACCAAAACATAATAAATTAACTTCAAATTTTGGATATAGAGATGTACGTATTTTTTCAGCAATACGGCAAAATATCCAAGCTTTAGCGTTCGAATTAAGACAGAAATCTATCAAAAGCTATGCGTCGTTTCTGTTTTACATCTTTTATGGTAAAATTCACGTCTGTGATTGGATGAAGATCTTAATCAGATTGCTTATAAATGCACAGACTTTGTACTCCAAAAAATAAAAGCCAATTATATAGTCTTCCAATTAGTTGGATGCCAATAATATTCGTATCTGGGTTTTACATGTAACATTAAAATTAAAGACAGACTGGGTGCAATTGTGTTTGTTAAAAAATTAAAGAAAAAAATAGGAGTAAAGTATATTAAAAGATAGAAAGATAGATAAGTTATATATGTGTGAGGTCAATAATATCGGAAGAATTTACGGGAGAATTTGTAGGAGATTTAGTGGCAGTAGTAGTAATTGTAGTAGTTGTAGTAGTGGAGGGTAAAAGATAAGACTTGTTCTTTGGGAACTGACCCCAATGATTCCAACTTGTGGAAAAGCAGTCAATGATACTCCCTCTACGGATAGCATCAAAATACAGCGCATTTACCTTAGGCCAGGACCGATGTACATGAGGCTTCACTTTAATTGTTGTCCAGTGGCACCCATGTACATGGTGCAAGACCATCGGCAATGGCTTTCTTTTGAGAGGCTTCCGATCATGGAGGGGAAGGAAAGTTACAGGCAAGACGCTCCGATCGTCCGAGTACACACAAACAGGCTCGTTATAGGTGTCAGCTATTATCTGAGCACAGTCTGGTGCAGAGAACCACATAGAGGAAGGGCAAGATGGGATATTTTCCCCAAGAGCAGGGTCAATCTCGGAGCCAAAGGCAATGACCTCTGTCACTTCAGCAACATCCATGCCAAAGTTGTGCTCGTAAAGTTTACCGTGGGTTGCCATCGTGGCCAACATCTTCTTCACCAAAGGAAACTGATCCTCTCCACCCTCTTTCAGGTGTGAAAATACACGGAAACCGCACCAACCATCGGACTTGGGGTTAAACGTCAACAAAATGGTGGCTTAGTCGATTTGAGCAGGCAGAGCAAAGTCATGCACATTTTTGTTTTGTTTTTTTCGGACTAGGCAAATCGTATCAGTAGTTGTCTTGGAGATGTTTAGGTTTTTTAATTCCAGAGGAATATTTTTCAGCTAAGAAGAAACAAAAAACAATGTAACATTTAGCATTTAATTTTAGTAAAATATCTTATCGGTTACCTTCTTCGAGAGGCTCTTGCTTTTTAGCGAAATTGGTTGTTTTAGCTATAGAGAAAACATGCAATGTGTGAGCAAACCATACAAAATATTTTGTGATTCATTTATAAGTTATCAAAAATTACCTTCTTCGAGAGGCTCTTGTTTTTCAGCGAATTGGGTTTCTTTTTTTATTTCTTTTATGACTAGAAATAGTAAGCATTAGATATTACATTGTAATTTCACAAAAAAAACAATTATAAATTACTTTTTTTGAGAGGCTCTTCCTCTAAGAACTCCTTCATCACTTCTTTAAGTCCTTCTTTCAAAATACTTCTGATATCATTCTAAAGAAATAAAGAATAAATATGTATTAGATTGTGAAATCATGTTTGTGTATGTTGCATGTTTACTTTGTTCTTTTGCACAAGGAGATGTCTGTGCTTGTGACGGACAAAGTCCTTTGGGAGAGCAGTTTTCCTTTTGACGTGCTTAGGTCTTCCAGGAGCTTTGACCTCACTTGCCAAAGGAAATACAACATTTGGATGGTCAATTATTTCACCAGCATTGTCAACAAGTTCATCAACCATTGCCATAAGATTCTGGACTTGTTAATTCCCTTCACACTGACGAAACAATTGTTCAAGCTTTGTTATACATTTCACCCACGGGGCAGGCTTTTCAACGTCGATTTTCTGTAGAAAAACGTCACATTCCAGTTGCTTCAAACGTTCACCCAAAGAAGAAGACAGAATCCATCTTTCAGGAATGTCTGATAATAGCAACATACGATCTCTTGGCAGATCATGGCGACAAGGAAGACCAAACACCACTTTTACTCTGCAATTGCAAAGCTCACCAGGTACAACCTCTTCTAGAAGCTCAGCACGGATGGTGATCAAACCAATTCTGGAGACGTGGTGAA